GTCATCAAAAGATCCATCAAGAACAGCCATCAGGTTGTCCTTCTTTCCACAGCTGTAGTTGGGAATATTGGCTTCTCCAGTCGAGAGCATGTCCAGCAAGGCATCTGAAGTGCCAAGGGTGTTGAAATAATTGTCATGGATGTTGTAGCCAAGTGTGAGATTGTACAAAAGCTGAGAATTCTTGTTGACTTGTTGAATGGCAAAAATGAAGCTTAGGAGTCTTCCTGGATCAGTATGTGAACTACTGTAAAAAAATGTTCATGATAACATCATCTCTAACAACAACAACAACAAAATTTATTTTTTATTTGTTCCTCTTTCTCTCCACAACCCAATCAGACTTAAGCCAAAAGTGTGGAAAATAAGAATAAAATTATAATCACCCATCACCATTTAACTGTTATGAGTGTTGAGAAGGTGGGATGGAGATTTAATATTTCAAATATATCAGTATTTGTTAATACATATTCTAACGGCAGCTCGAATAACATACACAAAGAATTGGAAACAAGAAAAAATCCCAATGGAAGAAGAGTTAACAGATAAAATCGCACAGTGTGCTGAAATGGATAGATTAACAAAAGAGATCAAGGAAAAAGAAGAGACAGAGTACTATAGAATATGGGACAAATGGTATAACGTCGCTAATAAAGAAATATAGGTGCAAGAAAAATAGAATAAAGATGTAAACAGATATATTAATAATTTCCTATGGACAAGGAAACATGAACAGGGGTTTCAAAACAAAAGTATAATTCAAATATAAAGACTGTTAAGAAATCCTAACGGGAGGGGAAAAAAGAGAAGGGGGGGAGAAAATAGAATGGGAAAAACTACCAGGCTAAACATAAGGGGAAAATCACAACTGTATTAATTGAAGAACCACTACGAAATATTGCTTTAAGAAGAAAATTTACTTATACGTTGTATGTTTTGTAAATGTTTTTTATATGTGTTTTATATGTGTTTTAATAAAGTTTATAAATTTATATATATATATATATATATATATATATATATATATATATATATATATATATATATAATCAGTATTTGTAATAGTGCTCATTTTTAATTTGTGCAATGATCAAGATGCAAAGTCATTCAATCATTAAAATAGAATCATCAGCAAAGAAGACTAATAAATGATCCAGAAAAGCAATTCTAAAAACAAGCCATCCTCTATTCCATACCAGGGTCAGGCATTGAATATCAATGAATGGTTATAAAAATAAGAAATGGATGGGGCAGAGGAAACTACAAACTTTTCAATAAGCTAGTTGTGATTAACTCAGGATTGTACAAGAGGAGAAAATAATTCGGACTTTGGGGGCTGGGGTTGTGCATCTTTGGATATGGGTCTCTTAAAATAAGACGTAAGAGAGAAGCCATGGAAATCCAAATGATTCAAGAAATTAAACAGTTCCTGCAATATAAGAGTAACTGAAAGAAACGAAGAAGAGTGTTAGGACTGCAAATGGAAGGAAAGCAACTCCATCACACTGAATGACTTACGAGGTGGCTTGAGTATAAGGAGCTGTGTTGAAAGAAAGCATTATATGGGATATTATTGTGGCAATGGTGACTATACCAATGAGGTGGTCTCCTGGCCTGTAATAGCTCCGTAGGTTTTTTCCCTCATGTTCCTCCAACCTCAGCAGGCACTTCATTCTCAGTTTCCCAGAGACTGGCTGGGACATCAGCAGCAGCAGAAGCAGAAGGAGGAGGTCCATAATTCATGGGGCTGAATCAATCTCCTTCCTCTTTCTAAGGAAGAACAAGAGCATTCGAAAAATTCAAAGCACCATTCAAAAATGGAAATGAGAGTGACTTTCTTGACTGAGAGAGAGATTAACAGAACTTCACCGGGAAAGGAAAGAAAGGAAAGGTACATTCAAGAAGTCCCTGAATGTCCCCAAATTTGTGCCACACGGAGTGTGACCTGAGTCATTTATGCTTTTCTGATGCAAGATCCCTTTCAAGTTGCTTCAGTCTGATGTTTACATCAAAGGCGATCACTGGAGAAATATCAGGAGAGATCTCACTGACCAGGATTTTAATAATTACTGTAAGAAGCAACATATCCTCTGGGAATCCTGAACTACTTCTGGGCCTCCATGTGCAGAGGAGAAGCTGGATTAAAGCATAGTGAAAAATCATAGATATACCCCTAGAGGGCACTGTTCTGAAATGGTTGTGGTCCTTCCTTTCTGAAAATGTCTAGAAAGTGCTGCTAAGCAAAGATAGTTCAACACCCAGGAAATTGGGTGTTGTCCTTCAATGTACTCTCTTGTCCCCAGAGACTCCTGGGGAAGATCACCCAGAACTATAGAGTTTGGTTCTACTTTAGTGTCAGACCTGGAAGCCATCTTTTACATTTGGGCTTCCAGGCCTGCCACATTTTCTATGTGGCAGGCTGAAGGGGAAATGTAAAGACGATTGCATAGAGTAGGGGTAATAGGTAGTCAAAATAACATTCTTTTCTCATAGAGTCAAGGCCACCTTGCCAGTGGTCACCAACCGGTGGTCCGTGTCGTAGTGGTGTTCTACAATAAAATTTTGGTGGTCCGCAGTGCACCCGTGGTAGAGGAGCTGCTCCGGTATGAGCAATGGACAGTCCTGTGACTAGAGCTCTGGAATATAGAACTGGCCAGGCAGCTCATGGTGGGGCTGTAAATCTGCACTGTAGAGGGAGGTTCATGCAACTTGCAACTTTGTAGCACAGCCCTCTCTGGCCGGAATGAGATAATGGTGCAAATGGGGGTGGTGCAGTGCAGGTGGGCCGAAGCAATGGGTGGCAGGAACCCCAGGACTGTTTCTTCCCCCTGCTGTAGCTTCCTGTCAGCTGAACCCACCAGTAGCTGTCCCCACCCCTCACCCTCACTTCTCAGTCACTCCTTGCCTGGCGAGGGAAGGGCAGAGGATGGAGATTTGCTCCATATTCCAGAGTAAGAGTGAAGTTTTGTCTCTTGCTGGATCTCATGGCCATTTCTTCCCGCCCTTGTTGGTGCTCTGCGCACCTCGGTCTCTCAGGGAGATGCTTGACTTCCTCTCAGCCCCAAGACACTGGCTGGCCCATGAGATGTGAGAGAGAGAGAAAATCAGAGAGAGAAGGAAAGAGAGAAAGAATGAGAAAGAGTGGGAGAGAGAGAAAGAAAGGGAGAGAGAGAATGAGAGGGAAAGAGGGGGAAGAGAGATGAGACACAGCGAAAGAGAGATGGAGAGAGAGAGAAAGGAAGAGAGAAAGAGATAAGAGAGGCAAAGAGAGAGAGAAAGTGAATCAGAGAGAGAGAGAATCAGAGAGAGAATGAAAGAGAAAGAATGAGAGAGAAAGAGAGAAAGAAAGAGAATGAGAGAGAATGAGAGAGAGAATGAGAGAGAAAGAGAGAAAGAGACAGAATAAAGGAAAGAGAGACAGAGACAGAGAATGAAAGAGAGAGAAAGAAAGAAAGAGGCAGAGAGGGATTCAGAGAGAGAATGAGAGAGAATAAATGGGAGAGAGAGAAAGATAGGGGGAGAGGGAGAGAGAATGAGAGAATGAGAGAGAAAGAGTGGGAGAGAGAGAGAAAGAGAGGAGGGAGAGTGCCTGAAGGACACCAACCCGTCACTGGGAATCCAGGCGCTTCAGCAAGTGGCACACTGCATTCATATTAGTGGTCTGCGGGATTTAAAATTACGAACTTGGTGGTCCCTGAGGTCCAAAAGGTTGGGGACTCCTGGCATAGAGTAAGTGTGCTATGTAATCAAAATAACATTCTTTTCTCAGAGAGTCAAGGCCACCTTGCCCTGCAGCTACGATGCGATGACTAGGAGGCATCTCCGGTTTTGGATGGTGCCTGATTGGATCATGAGATGAACATGTGGGTGCTGGGCAGGGACTTGAACTTTTTTTTCTGGGGAAAACCTGGAAACTGGGTTTGGGTTTTTCCAGATGTGCCAATATGACATCTCCAATAAAATGGAACAGTGAGGAAATTCAAGCTTAAGAGTCTTCTTTCGTTGGGGTTTCTTGGAACCCTGACACTTAGGTTGATGACGCTTAATTCTAATACTGCCTGTCTTTTAATGTTAAGGAAGAAATCTGTAACCGTGAAGCCTGCCTTATGTTAAGAGTAGGACTTGTTTGTAATTTACTTTTCTTTTAGATCTTCCTGTATTAATCACAAATTGGAAGTGATTTTAAAATTGCTCATGCAATAGTGAAATTTCATTTGCCCTAGAAATATTAACTTTGGGGTGATATTTGAAACAAAGGGAATGGAAATTGATAATTGTCCAACTGTATCATTGGGTAAATATGGAATACGTTATGGGGGTAGACTTTTTTTCCCCTTATACTTGCCCTTCAGTATTCATGTAAGACACTGAGAAACTTTATACTTTGAAGTCTCTTTGTTTACTAAACAAACAGCAGACAGTATCATGTCCTCCTTGGACAACTCCCCAGATTCTTTCTCAGAAATCAGTTCAAGGGAGGATGAGCTCATTCCTGGCATGTCAGGAACTGGGTTAATTAATGGCTCTGAACACTTGGCCAAAAGAGTTTTAGACTTTCCCCAGCTTCAGCTGAGGAAAGTTTTCCAAAAACGACTCTAAAATCACCTCTTTGCTGTATATTACAAAAGATTACAAAAAATAAAGATTTTACAAAGTTTGAAAGATGTGGTCTTCTTTCTTTTTAAATGGACTGAAGGGAATCCCACCGACTGATTGGTAAAGCTTGTTTCAGACATATGTCTCCTTGTTTATTGATTCAGTCAGTCAGTCCTATATGATAATAAAATCTCATTTCTTATCTTCTCCTTCCCTAGTTTCATAACAATTTAAATTATTAATTAATTCATTTTACACTTTGATGATTATCTTATGTTAGTCTAACATTCTTTGTATATTTATTTCTTTTGATTTTATATAATCTTAATTGTCAAAACAAGCATACAAACTCAATAATAACTGCAATAAATAATTAAGTGTTATGAGCCTAAGAATCTACTTCATGATCAGATACTGACTTTTATCATTAAATGTTCCTTAGTATTTAGATCTGGTCTCAGGATGATAATGTAGCACTTGGGGAAGAAGATGCAGCCCAGCAGGCCAGCCCCAGAAGCCAAGATGGAGAAAACCTGCACGGCCACCATGTATTTCCCTTTGGTGCTCAAGTAGGTGGGCAGGAAGGAGATCCAGATGCTGCAGAAGACCAGCATGCTGAAGGTGATCAGTTTGGCTTCGTTGAAGGCCCCAGGCAGGTTCCTGGCCAGGAAAGCCACTGTGAAGCAAATGGCAGCAAGGAAACCCATGTAGCAGAGAACCACATAAAACATGGTCACAGAGCCTTCATTGCACTGAAGGATGATCACTCCTGATTGGGAGTGCAGGTCAAAATCAGGAAACGGAGGAGAAACTCCCAGCCAGATTGCACAAATGACCATTTTTCCAGCAGAACCAGAAAGGATGATGGAGTTGGCCAAGCTCTTCCCCAACCACCTCCTCACCCTGTTCCCTGGTTTCGTGGCCAGGAAGGCCAGCACTACCATGATTGTTTTGGCTAACACACAAGACACAGCTACTGAGAAGATGGTGCTGAACATTGTTTGTCGGAGAAGGCAGGTGGCTTTCCTTGGTCGGCCAATGAAGAAAAAGGAGGACAAGAAGCAAAGCAAGAGGGAAACCAGGAGGATGTAGGACAGGTCACGGTTGTTAGCTTTGACAATGGGAGTTTCTAGGTATTTAACGAATATGACTAAAACAAGGCCTGTTGTTAGAAACAAGAGTACAGCAAAGGAGACCAGGATGATGCCCAGATGATCTTCATAGGACAGGAAGGTTATTCTTTTGGGGATACATTGGATTCTGTCATCAGTTGGATATTTGTCATCTGGGCACTTGGTGCATTTTTCAGTATCTGAGAAAACAATAAGTAATATTATTTTTTTAGTCTCTCCTTTCACATTCCAAGAAAGACTTTCTTTCAGTGGCAGCTGATACTGAGAGACAGAAAAGCCAGAGTTCCTCTGATGTCACTCACCTTCCTGTGTGGAGATGGTCCCCTCCGGACAAGGAATACAATCGTAGCAGCAAATTGGTTCTTCTTTCCGAGCCCGTTTTACAAATCCAGGGTGACAATTGTCCACACATTTGGACTGAGGCAGAGACTAAGCAGAAAAACAACATTCATTCCAAAATATCTGCCAAATTTTTATTTATTAGATTGATTTACTAAAATAAAATGAAACTGTGCTTAAGAAAGAAACTCTGAGCAGTACATCAAGAAAAGGTTTCTCCTGGACTTAGTAAAATATTGCAAAGCCTCTCCCCTTTGAAAATCACCCAAAACTTTGTTCCAGTTAAGATATGAAGACAAAAATCTTCACCAACTTGGGCTGTCAACCTCAAATGAGGTATTATTGAGTTATATCTCTACATTTATATTTTCAATTCATACAGCTGCCATGCTGGTGAAATAAGACTAAACATTACTGCCTAGTTTCTAGAACTATAGTGAGGATGAGTGGGGATGAAATCATGAGAACATGTCACTTAAAAAGCGTGATCAGGCATGTTTTTCTGCAGCACATGGGACATGAGTATGAACCCTGTGTGGGAAAGAGATATTTCTAAGGCCAAGTGAGCAGGGATGGGTTGTAAAATTTTTTACTACCGGTTCTGTGGGCGTGGCTTATTTTGTGGGCATGGCTTGGTGGTCATGTGACACTGGGTGTGGTTTGATGGTCATGTGACTAGGTGGGTGTGGCCAACTCAATGTCACTCACGTCAAGCGGTGCCTCGCCTGGCCCCTCCCCTCCCAGCCATTCCTTGTCACACCCAGCCTCAACGTATCTATAGTTCTGTAAAAATGTTGTTCACCTTTTTTCAACTTTATTATCTACATACTATAGATGTACTTTCATGGGCCACTGAAAGGAGGAAATGGCTCCCATGCTTTGCCCAAGAGTGTGATAGGCAACAGGCTTTTAAGGGGCTGCCAGAAAGAGGGGGGGGCAATGTATTTTCCAAAACCCCAGAAGGCAAAACAAGAAGCAATGGATGGAAACTGAACAAAGAGAGAAGAAACTTAAAACTACGGAGAAACTTCCTGACAGTGAGAACCAATATAGGTGCAGAAATAGTTCAGTCATAATTTCACATATAAAATAGGCATTTGCGCATATTGTTCAAAACAGTCATTAGTATTATGGTTGATGTTTATGGCTGAAGCCTAAAAGTCAAAGATCACAAGAGTGTTTCTTTCTCTGTATGTATACAAAGCATCACATACCAGGAATAGCATATTAAGATGGACTTATGCAACCTGATGTACAAAATAAACACACACATATTTATGCTCTGGACTATAGACATTGAATGCATGTAAATCCCTGAAAAATATGTGGTAGTCCTGGGCAAAAGAAAGGCAATAAAATCACTCTAGGTGTAGGGACAGTGTAAAATATTAACACATGATAAATAATGGAACAATTAAAAATATTAGCACAATTTTCTCTCTCTCCCTTTCTCTCTCCCTTCCTCTTTCTCTCTCTTCTATCTCTCTTTCCTTCCTTCCTTCTTTCTTTTTTTTCTTTCTCTCTTTCTCTCTCGTTCTTTCTTTCTTCTCTTTCTCTTTCTCTCTCTCACACACACATTGTCTCTCCCTTTCTTTTTCTTTTTCTTTTTCTTTCTTTCTTTTCTTTCTTTCTTTCTAGTCTCTCTCTCCCTTCCTTCCTCTTTCTTTCGTTCTCTTTCTTTCTTTGTCTCTTTTTCTTTCTTCTCTCTCTCTCTCCCCTTCCTTCCTCTTCTTTTTCTTTTTCTTTCTCTGTCTTGTCTATCTCTCTTCCTCTTTTTTTCTTTCTTTCTTTCTTTCTTTCTTTCTTTCTTTCTTTCTTTCTTTCCTGGCTCTTTCTCTCTTTCTCTCTGTCTTTCTTTGTCTCTCTCTCTTCTCTCTCTCTCACACACACACACTTCCTCTTTCTTTCTTTTTCTTTCTTTCTTTCTCTTTCTCAGTCTCTTTCTTTCTTCTCTCTCTCTCTCTCTCTCTCTCGCTCTCTCTGTCTCGCTCACACACACACACACACACACACACACACACACACACACACACACACCTGGTCTGGACACAAAGTATCTGTTGTTACAGAAGTTGTGTGCAGGGAAACACTTTGCCACGGTAAAGAAAAATTTCTTGCAACCGCGAGGCAATTAACTTCTCCCACTCAAGAGAAATTTTTCTTTACTTTGCAAGGTTTTTCCCTGCACACAATGGCTGAGAGACAACCCGGAGCTGCCAGTCTGTGCTTTGCCAGGCGATCAGCAGAGCGAGTAAACCAGGGATCTGCCAGCTTTCTGTAATCTGCAGTTTACTTGAGAGCACCATGTTCATGACTAAACCTGCTCACAAGTAAACTACAGAATAGAGGCAGCCAGCAGCTCGCAGGCAGTGAAAGAAACTGCCGCCTCCTGCCTCTGTGCATCGAGGAGGCCAAGCAGCAGCGGGAAGAGCACAGGACGGGAGGTGCAGAAATTGGCTGCCAGCAATGCCCTCAAGTGAACATGTTGTGGGTGGGGAGACTCAACCCCCCCCACTTAGGAGCCTCAATTTATTTGTGAGCACCATTGGCCTTTCTCCCTTCCTCTCCCGGCCAATATTGTTCACGAGTAAACTTCAGCTAAGATCTCCCATGTGCCTCTTTCTCAGGCCAGGCCGGCTGGGGAACACGCACAGGAAGAACTCTGGTGCCACGATCTCCCGCATGCTCCCCTCCCTCCCCACGTGCATCGGTCCACCACCCACTGCTGGTATCACCCCTCCACCAGCTCTCCCTCCCCTGCCCACCCACCGGCCACTGCCCTTCGGCCTTACCTTTGCCAGCAGTGGTGAGCAGAAGTACGTGGCTAGATTCTGCAAGTAGTGGTTGGGCACAGCGGGTGGGCAGGCAGGGCGAGCGAGCATCGGGTGGGCGGGGTGAAGAGTGGGAACCGGTTAAGGGGCGTGACCATCCAGAGGTCACTACCTGTTCGGAGAACCATGCCAAATTTCCACTAACAGTTCTCCCGAACCAGTCCAAACTGGTAGCAACCCACCTCTGCAAGTCAGGTATTTAAGGCAAGGTCCTTTCCATTGAAGAATTACAGTTTTGTTGCTAGTCATTATTTATTTCCAACTCTTTCATCCCCCAAGAACCAAAGCACTCCAGGACCCCCTGTCCTCCATTGCCTCCCAATATTAGAACTACAATTAGATGACATGGAAAGACAGACCCACATTTATATATTCCTTAAATTTGGACAATTCTTCTTTTCAGTGGAAGACTTAAGGTAGCTAAGAATCAAGATAAACAATTGCATTCAAGGAGTTTTTAGATGGATTACAAGCCAAACACCAAATCTAAGTAGCATTTTATTATAAATTTACCCTCATTATTACAACTGTCAAGAAAGACTTGGGGGGGAACAGTCAACGTAATTTTCAGTACTTCAGTTTTCTAGTTTAAGGCATTATCTCATATCGGACAAGTCATTATGGTTCCACATTGATTGAACACCTTGGATCACCTTCCTAGCAGCAGGATTCCTATCCCAGTGGAGTGGAACAAATGTATGAATAACTGTGGTCAGATATTGGCTCTTTAAAAATATCTGAGCCTGCTCTTTCAGGGACCCTATCTACAACCATACAGACAGAGAAAAATTGCCAATATTTTCAACCACCTTGTTGAGCAACTTTAGCCGTGAAAGAGCATCTTGGTTGATAATAAGCCTCTGTCTTTCAAAACTCCCCAATTGCTCTTTGATGGGATCCTCCTTGGGGAAAAGCAACCAACTTATGATATTCAGATCTGCTGCTACATTTCCACTTTGGTCCAAGTACAGTTTCTCCGAGGAAAAATTGCAAAACTCATTCTTCTCCAAAAAGGGATGGAACTAGAATTGAAACATCCAGATATTTTGAAAGCAACTTGAAACATCCTAAAAGGAGGAGCAATTTTAAAGCTGAGCTTGTGAATAAGAGAAGTTCAATCCCCTCTTCACTATTTGCCTGAATAGCAATAACACGTAGACTTATAGACCACTTCACAGTGCTTTTACAGCGCTCATAAGTGGTTTATAGAATCAGCATATTGCCCCCAACAATCTAGGTACCCATTTTACCAATCTTGGAAGGATGGAAAGCTAAGTCAACCTTGATCTGGTCAGGATCGGACTCCTGGAAGTGAGTAGTGAGTTACGGGTGGAGTGAGGGCTAGGGCTAGGGCTAGGGCTAGGGTTAGGGTTAGGGTTAGGGTGAGGGTTAGGGTTAGGGTTAGGGTATATGCCATGGCTAAATGCCAAGACTGAGTAGCCACTAGTCTGAAAAGCTTTAATTGGATTCCTGCAGTGAGGAGGGATTAAGCTAAATGCTCCCAGGTTTAGCTGACAGTTATGAGTATAAAATTCTATCATGCTAATTACAAACCCACAAGTACAGGCATTTATTTACAATGTATACATTTTAAATAATTTTATAATAGCAATGTTTAATATAAAAATATAATTGTCACTATGCCTGCTCTTTGGAACATAATCCTGTGAACTAAATCTGGCCTCTGCTTAGCCAAACCTGTTGGTTTTTTGGAGAACAATGGTTCCCCTACTTCAGCATTGGATTTTTTTCTAAATAGGAACTAGATATGATAGATCCTTGTCAGGACCGCATACCTGCCATGGCTCTAGCCTTGGAGCCCCCAAACTCTCTTTCTTCTCTGTTTTTCTCCTCCTAGATAGTGAGGAATATGCAACATTCAAGACATGGGCCAGAGTCTTAGCAACAGTATAAAAACGGTGCTCATTTTGTATCTGAATTCTATTCCTTTTCTCTTGCATGTCCAGTGGTGCTATCTGGGTGCATCGTCTCCGGCCCTTGACAGAAAGGACATGCTTTGAAAAAGAACAGTGAAAAGACTGGTCTTCGAATTTGGAATCCTTGAAAAGATTGAGTTGAAAGGCGTCATCATTTGGCCATTTTTTTTCCTGAAAAGGAAAGACCCAAATGCTATGGATATATTTGAAAACTGTATGCCTTATCATTGGCAATTTCTCCACAATTGTGGTGATCCAGACTTTCCCTTCAATGGGTCCTGGCAAACCTTCAATTGCTAAATGAATGTGGCAAAATCTATCCACAAGGGAAGCAAATTCTCTGAAGTGAACAAAGACATTGACTTT